TAAGCCCCAAATTGTGCATGTGATTAGCTTTAATAATTAGAAACTGTTTCCATGTACTGTGTCACACTTTTCACTTTGAAAATGTCCCCAAAAGTGATTCAGAATATGTCTGATCTATTTTTTTTTAACTCTCTAGAGAAACTCGAATAGGTCCCAAGCAAGTCTTTATTATCCCACTTTCAAATATAATCAGTTCAATTCGGTAATTACTTATTGAACTTTTATGAAGTTCCAGACAATAGGAAGTAAAAAAGACTGAGGTACAAAAGATGAAAGATTTGTTCCTATCCTTAAGAAGCTCATATAATAAACATGCTTTAAAGGAAATTGTCAGTCACGTTGATGTGCAGTCTATGGATATGATTATACATATGATGATTTCTAGTCAGGTTCTATTCCTTTGTCTTCTCTCCTATTCACAAATAAGAGGCAACACACATTTTTCATTCCATCTTTGATCCCTTTCTTAACTTCCTTGATTTTGTTTCTGTTTTTCAATAAAATATTTACTGACAATTTGTGGTGCATGTATTATGTGCCAGTATTCATTAGAGAAGAGACTTATTTCAAGTCTTTGCATTTCCATCCAGGGAAGGCAGTTTCCAATGCAATTCCCTCCGTAAAGGTACTACAAGGGAGAACACTTTCGGAGTATCTATTCACTCACTTAGTTTTCTCTTTGGGTTAGGCACATGAGTAACTGCTTTGGTTAAATTGATGCCTGGAATGCATTAGGCAATGTATTTAGGAGTTAGTCCATTGAAAGACAATATGAGAGATGGAGCTTATTCGATACAGTTTTATTCAAGTAAGATAGGCACCTTTTTTTTTTCTTTTTTTTTTTTTTTTGGAGAGATTTTCACTGTAGGGCGCGTGCGCTCGCCAGACAGACAGAGAGAGACATAGAAACAGAAAGCGAGAAATCACCCCCCAGGGGGGATGGTCACGCCGCAATCCCTTCTCCTCCATTCTCCTCTCGGGATCTTGGGCACGCATGCACACGCGCCCGGCGTGAGTTTCAAGTCACTGGGTCCGGATCACGAGACGCGGTCGACTACATGGGAGTCCAGTGACATAGCCATTGCGCTAACTGCTGGTTCCCAAGATAGGCACCTTTTCAATCAACTTCATTGTAAGTCTTCTAGATCTAGATCCTCTGTGTTGGAAGTGTATCATTCTATAGAGTCTTTTCCAAAAACTCGAAAAATATGTCAGTTAACACTTTTCCTGTAGAGTCAATCTCTTCAATTCAGAAGGTGAGAATATATTCATCAAAGGAGGTGCATTCACAAATTTAGTTCTTTCAGGAGATCTTGTGTTTTGGTAATAATTGTTCCACAATTTATAACATGAATACACTTTCCCTTATTTGACTCTCCATAATTTTTAATATTTACTTGATTCACTCAGCAAACTTAATGAGCATCCATTATGTACTAACTGCTGAAAATAGTGTTGAATGAGATACACTTTCTGAAACAGATTAAACAATTGAAAATCTCAAGAAAATATGAAGTGGTAAAAATATAACAGAGAGATGGGATAGGGAGTAGATAAAAACCTTTGAAGAATTGCATGGTCAGGGAAGCCTGCTTTGAGGTGTAATGTTCAAATTGTATTTTGAATGATGTGACTTCATGTTAGGGAGTAACTAGATAAATATGGAGAAAACATGTAAGGCAGGTCTGGAGGAAGAGAATCACTGGTAAAGAAAACCACCTCAATGAAAGCTCAAGATCATAAGATGGTAGAATGGGGAGTCAACAGGTGCATGGTGGCTAAGGCTCTGTATTCCTACACGGCCAACTGCAATTTGAGTTCTGGACCAAGAAACTTGAAAACCATGTCAGGCATGAGTGTATGCATGCCCAAAATCTCTAGAGGAGAATGGAAGAGAAGGAATTGTGGTGTGGCCATCACCCCTGGGGGGTGATATCTCACTTCCTCTCATCTCTGTCTCTCCTGTAAGTGCATGTGCTTTATAAAGGACATCCGTTAAAGAAATTTGTAGCATTGTGGCTTTTTCTTTTCATTCCCCTCCCCCATGCTCATTTCTTGTTAACACCTCCCACAGCAGATTTCCTTCTCCTGCACCTCAAATTCTTCACATAATATTCTAGAACTGTCTGGTATAACTCAGTTTTGTAGACTGTAACCCTTGCACATAAAGTCAGAATAAGTCATATTTCTTTTTTCTGTAAGATTATCACTAGAATGTAATTATCTGCATTTTTTTGAAATCTATGTGTATTTTCATTTGTATCACTGAATCCAAAGTCACTATTTTGATAATTCACAACCAACATATTCCTTGTTTTAAATTGCTTTCACAAAGGAGCTTTAAAAGTTATGCATTTAAAAGTGTCTGTGGGTTATTTTAAAGAAATCCATATTCTTCCTTGTATTTACTATTACATATAACATTTTTGGTTATTTTCTTCCTTTTTTCCATCTTTACATTTCTCTAGGTGTTAGTTCTATCAATAGTCATTCTTTTCAGCTGTCACTCCACTATACAATTGCAACAAATGACCCTGAACATACTCATAACATTTACAGAGTAAATGGCTCTTTATCCAATTACTTCCCAGGAGAAAACTAATCTTTGGGTGGACGAGTAGGACTCCCCAGTTAAATGCATGTTTGACGTAGCCAAGTACTTAGACAGACAGTTGTTCCACTGTTGAAAATTATCTGAGTGGAATGCCTAGGCATTCATGGTGGTCTTAAAAGAAAGTAAGAGGCATCTGTCAGGATCCTCCAAGAAGTTCAGCTTTCTAATCAGGGCATCTGAATTCCTAAGTGAAAGGTAGGGAAAAACCCTGCCTCCCAAAGAGCAGTCCCTCATCAGTAATAAAGCAGATGTTTAAACAAGGAACATTTATCAATGTCTGTCAGCCTGTCATTTAGTGAAGAGGTGGAAGGGCAGTAGAGAGAGGGGGAAGAAGGAATGGATGAAGGAGAAACAGCAGAGTCCTAGAGTACAGGAGCTACTGATATGTAGAAACAGAGGCAATGGCTTCAAGTAACAGTGTGGCAGCCTAAGACGCCATTGCAAATCTGAAACAGGAGCTGCAACTTGTTTATTCTGAAAGATGTCCGGATGGAAAGACCAGATTGGTATTAGCAAATTGGGACAAAGAAAAAGCAAATTTTATACTCTACTCTTTCCTACGCATGACTTTGGTGAGCATTCGGGGCATCTGACCTGGTTATATACGTTTTTGTGGTACATATCTAGAGAATAATATTTCTAAGAAGCTATTTGTGTGTGTTTGTTATAACAATAATACATATTTTGAAGAGTTGTTGTAAGAACTGGAAATTAGGTATGTCAGATACATGCAGATGTAAACATCCCTAGTTTTGTTAATGTGTCCTCTCCTCAGCTGAGATTGCTACTGATGACCTCTTTGGTCATTAGTGTGGGAACATGGGATTTTTTTTTTTTTGGAGAGATTTTCACTGTAGGCGCGTGTGCTCGCCAGACAGACAGAGAGAGACATAGAGAGAGAAAGCGAGAAATCATCCCCTAGGGGGGATGGTCACGCCGCAATCCCTTCTCCTCCATTCTCCTCTCAGGATCTTGGGCATGCACGCACACGCGCCCGGCATGAGTTTTAAGCCACCGTGTCCGGGACACGAACCGCGGTCGACTACGTGGGAGTCCAGCGACATAGCCATTACGTTAACTGCTGGTTCCCGGAACATGGGATTTTCAAAGAAGCAGTCCTCATGAAAATGTCATAGGAATATCTGGAAACCAAGATGATGTAACTACATGATCACTGGGTGTCTACTGAAGGATATCTGCATTTCAGAAGATCAAAGCAATGTAGTGGGCGCTGCCTCTTGGTCCAGTTTGCCGGGGGGAGCTCAGGCAGGAAGGTTGCTGTGGACTCCTGTGCTGCACCTATGAAAGTTTTACAGGGTCGTGGATGTTCATGAGGAGGGATCTGCTTCATGCAAACTACTTGCTTCCCTAGGTAAATTTCTAAATTAAAACAAAGTTAAAGGGCCAACTTGCAGCTATATTTGTTATATTCAAAATCAAGGCTTTAAAAGGTACTTTCAGTGCAGATCCATAGAGGGGCTTCATAGGGAACTGGCTAAGACTGTATGTAAAATTTTCTATGTCTTTTTCTGAACTTTTATGATTTCTGTTTTCTACAAGTTTTCTGATCATAAAAGTTAATCCCTGTTTTATTTTATGGAATTAGATAGGATAAAGGTAACTGACTTTACTAGTTTTTGTGTGCCTGACGTTTGGTGGATAGGTGGTCTTCTTCAATAGGATATATTTATATTCAAATTACCAACACCAGAAAATGAGTAGCAGCAACCAAGTTGTAAAATATCAAGCTGAAATAGTCCCATTTTTTTCCCAGACTCTTTGTTTGGTTTCTTCTTTCATTTCTAAATTTTCTAAACTGAATTATGATCCATTTTCAGGTACTTTAACAAAAGTGATTGGAGGTGAGTCATATAAGAGCAAATTGAATAAAAGGATAGCTAGCTGGCTCAAAAGGCCTCTAGAGAATTTCGTGGGGATTTATGAAGAAATCTGTCACATTAGGCATAAAAATAGTTTGAGGGTGATAGAATAAAGACTGACTCACAGAAGTTCCTGCAAAGCAAATTGTATGCGAGTTCATTATTCTTGAAGAAGCAGAATAAGTAATCTTACTTTCTCTCTCTTTCTCTGTTTCTTCTTGCTTTCTCTCTCTTTCCTTTAAAAAGAAAAGTTGCAGGAGGGTATGTGCACGCACCAGAGGGAGATAAAGAATGTAAGAGAGATAAAGAATCCTTCAGTGGGGCATGGTCATGCCACAATCCCTTTTCCATTTCTCTATCTTGTTGACAATTTGTACACGTATGCACTTATGCTTGGTGTGTTTCTCAATCTGCTCTGTCTGGGATTCTAGCCATATGGTAGGGTGTGTGGGATATTGCTCCTATAACCACTACACAATGGTACTGGCCTCAAAAAAATACATTATATACTTACCTGACAGGAAAGATACCATGATCACAAAGGTGGTCTTCCCAGGGCGAGGCTTATCCATTGCACTCAGGATGTACGGACCCCTGCAATCCCCCAAATGTGGGGAACTCGACTGCATAATTTGTGGCAGTGGGGGTCAGCATTCATGCTTTTCTCTGAAAAAAAAAAAAAAAGAGAACAAGGTATATAATAATTTGGGGAATATCTCATTTAAAATTCTAAGAATTGGTATTCTTTAAGGATATCAAGTGCATAAAATTGCCTTTTTTTGTTTTGCCTTAATGAGATAGAAGGCATATATTAAATTTAAGATGTGTTATATATTCTTATGTAATCTTCACAAACACTCAATGAAGAAAATTACCATTTCATTCCTATTTTTAAATGAAGAAAATTGATAAGTAGATTAGGCAAATTGACAAAACTTGCACCACAAGAGGTGAAACCAGGAATCAAATTCACTAGTGCCATTGTAATACTGACAAAGAAAGCACTACGAAACCTCAAACTACGTAAGTAGCTACTGGGTCATATGCAGTTACATTGATAATAGAGCCAATGCCATTACCAAGTATTATACTTGTCAATGGATAAAATATCACTGCTACAGTGATACAACACAAGTAATAATTCTGACTAGAAATAAGACCTTCAAAGCAAAAAGCCATTCATGAATTTTTTTCTTTCTTTCTATCTTTTTTTTTAAAACTTTTTTAGGTTTCCACCATAGGGCACTTATGCTAGTTGCCAGTTGGACAGAGACACACAGAGAGAGAAAGTGAGAAATCAATCACCCCCCCCCCCAGGGGTAATGGCTACACCACAATCCCTTCTCCTCCATTCTCCTCCTGGGTCTTTGGGTACACAGGCACACAAGCCCCACGTAATTTTCAAGCTGCCTTATCTGGGATTTGAATGGGACAGTTTACCATGTGAGGATCCAGTGCCTTAACCCCCATGCCACTTGCCCCCATACCACTTCCCGAACCGTCTGCCTTTCTACATTTACAGCCATTTTCATCTCCCACAGTGAATACTATAGTTACTGTTTTTAATTCCTTTCATGAAGTTTAATATACTAGTATTTAATTTTAAGCCACTCTGACAATGTTTTTTAAGGTATATTTTAGCAATTGTACTAATAACTACAATAAATCTGGCAGGTCATTCTAACCTTTCATTTTGTTCTGGAGAAACATAGTCTGAAGTTTATGGGAGTGAATGATATACAAAACAAGAGCCACATACATAATAAAACACGATGAAGGAGAAAGTATATTATCTTTTCTTTCTCTTATTTCAGACAGGATCTCACAGTGTTATAATTTTTCTGTCTCAGCCTCCTTAGTAGCTGGAACTACAGATGTGTATGAGCATACTTGTGACACTGCATGCAGCTTTTAGGGTAGGCCAGGAATCAGATCTGGTTCTTCCACGGGGTCTCAGCCTGCTGCGTAGCAGGGTCTGCCAGCCTGAACACCTCAACTCAGCCACATGATTGTGTATTGCAAACACTCATTTTTTTCTTGATGAAAATACTAGTATATTTTTATGAAACCCACCTGCTGATTGAGATCAATGTTTTAAAACATTATCAAATGAGGAAAAAATAAAATATCTGTAGACTCCAAGCAATAAGATAACTTTTTTTTACTTACACATTAATTCAGTTATTTGACAAATATTTAATGAGTACATACTATATTTGAATACCTGCATTCAGTGTCAAAAATAATTTAAAGATGAAGTAGAGAAGGTTTTTGAAAGAGCTAACAGTTTTTCTAAGTCACAGGAAAATAGTACGTGAATAAAAACATATTTTTCACATGACATGATAAAGTTATATGACCATAGAATCAGAGTTTATTCATTTCACTTGATAGAAATGGGTCTCATCTAAATGGATAGAAAGTTACTGAATTGCTGAGATCCTAATATATCTCTGTATCACACGAAATTTGCACAACATTCTGACAAATGATTAATCTCCCTTTTCTTTCTTCTAGTGATATGGTAGCACTTATGATCAAGGTTGAGACTAGAAATGAAAAGTGTGTCGGTTTTGCCAAATCATCCCTGATTTGAATTTTGACACTAATCATGTCCTTTTTTTTTCCCAAGCAGTTCTTTCTCAGCTCTATTGGATCCTCATTCCTCTTCTCTTCTTCTTACCTTCTTTTAATAGTTAAACTTCCTATTATACAATATCTGAAAATCTATTATTTGATATATTTTTCTGTGATTTTTAAATTGTGTCGGGGAGAAGGTAAATCATCAAGGCATGAAGCAGAAGTTTGAATATTATTTTAACTAATTAAAAACAATTATTTTGGCATTGGAAAAAATATTCACCATAGAATTATTTATTACTGTAATTCTTGTCACTTTCCTTTGGTTAGTATTACTGTGACATATCTTTTTCTATCTCTTTACTTTTAATCTGTATGTGTCTTTGTATTTAAGGTGGGTTTCTTGTAGAACATGTAGTTGGGCCTTGTTTTTTGATTGACTCTGACAATCTCTGTCTTTTAATTGGTATATTTAGACCATTGATGTTTAAAGTAATTATTGATATCATTGGATTAATATCTACCATTAATATCTACTATTTTATATTTATTGATCTTGTTCTTGGTTACAATTTTTGTCTCTACTTTTTATCTGTCTCTTGTGGTTTATTTAAACATTTTAAATGACCCCACTTTCTCTTATTCCTTGGCATACTAACTCTACTTTTTTCTTCTTATTGTGGTGTATTCCCTGGAGACTGCAGTATCATTTACAACTAATCCAAGCACTATAACATCATATCACTTAATGCATACATACATATCCTATAATAACAAAATATTCCCAATTCCTCTCTTTTGTCACTTGTACTATTTCTGTCATTTGTTTCACTTATACATAAGCTAAAACCATCAAAACCCTTATTGTTATTATTACTTTGAATAAACCGTCGTCTGGTCAAATAAGAGTAAGAAAAATAAGTTTTAATTTTATCTTCATTTATACCTTCTTCAATGCTCTTTCTTTCTGTATTTAGATTTTATTTTCTGAACTATCATTTTTATTGTGAAATTCTTTTCATATTTCATTCATTATAAGGGTTTTTTTTTTTTTTGCAACAGATTTCCTCACCTTTTGTTTGTCTGAGAAAGATTTTATTTCTGCACCTCTGTTAAAGATTAATTTCACAAAATACTGAATTCTGGGTTGCTGCATTCGTTGTTGCTATTTTCTGTCTCAATACAAATGTTTCACTTCACTCTCTTCACAGTGGCATGGTTTCTGAGAATTGGAATTTAACTTTTGTCTTTGCTCATCTATATGTAAGATGGTATCTTCCTTTGGCTTATTTCAAGATTTTTTTTTAATCTTTGCTTTTCTTCAGTTTTTGAATGATATACACAGGTGTAGGGGTTTGTTTTGTTTTATTTCACATTTATCCTGCTGGGCTTCCTGAATCTGTGATCTGATGCCTAACAACAGTTCAGGGAAATTCTCAGTCATTATGGCTTCACATGTTATTTTTTTCTGTTTCTTATTTTTCCTGTCTCTTTTTCTCATTACATTTTTTATAGTTGTTCTAGACCTCTTGAATATTTTTGATATTCTGTCTTACTTTTTATTTTATTAAATAATTATTTTATTATTTATTTATTTATTCAAATTTGATCAAAGAGGGGGAGAGAGAGAGAGAGAGAGAGAAAGTGAGAAAGTTAGACACCAGGTCCAGGACTCAAACCATGGTCCGCCATGTGGAAATCCAATGCCATTAACCACCATGCCACCTGCTGGCCCATCTGTCTTATTTTTTAACCTTAATTTGTTTCATCATTTTTCTCTTTGCTTTTTGGTTTTGAAAGTTTCTATTGATATAGCCTAAAGTTCAGAGATTCTTTTCTCAATTTAATTTATGCTACAGTATTTTTGATTCCCAGCATTTCTTTTTTTTTATTATTATTTCTTAGATTTTAATCTTTCTGCTTCTATTGTCCCTTAGTTTTTGAATGTTATCTATTTTCTTCTGTTAGAACTCTTAGCATATTAATGAGAGTTGTTTTAAATTTCCAGTCAGATAATTCCAGTATTCCTGCCATACCTAGTTTAGTACTGGTATTTGCTCTGTTTCTTCAAACTATGATTTTATTTTATTTTTTTGACTTCTAGTATGTCTTGTCATTTTTGTTGAAAATTTTGTTGAAAAATCTGATATGATGTACTAGGTGAAAGGAATTTTGATAAACGAGCTTGTTGTAACGTGGTAATGAGGGGACGGGGAAGGGTTCTATAGGCCTGTGATTAGGTCTCGGTCCTTTGTTAGCCTATGTCCCTGAGTTGTGAACTTCACCAAGGCCTTTTGGTTGCCCTTCCCTTTACTGATCCCTTTTAGGTAGAACAGGATGACTAGAAGAGAGTGGATTTTTATATTTCCCTTAGTAGGATGGCTTTGATAAAACTCCAATAGGTTAGATCCTAGAGAAAATAGTTTCTCTTGAAAGCAGGCCTTGTTAATAAGAACAGTATACTGTCTTACATTTTGAAATATAGTTATTTTTGTCCTACCCCTGGCAAACAAGGAGAGGACTTTTTAATATTCACTTGAGAACTAGGTAGAGCTCCTGAACATGAAACTCACAAAAATATGCTTTTCTGGAGTTTTTAGGCTTAGACTTGTGCACATTGAGCTTCTAGCAATTCATCAACTAGACCTCAGCTTTTCTGATCTCAGCACTGATTCCCATGCAGGTTCCTGCTCATGGGTTTCTTCTGTAGTAAGTGTGATTAGCTAAGTCCTCCCCCTTGCCCGTCTGTCCTTCCAGTTTTCAGGGCCGTGGTGTGCCCTGTGATTTTACTTCTATAATCAATCCAAGAAGAGTTGTTAGTTTTTTTCAGTTTGCTCAGCTTATTATTTGTTAGCATGGAGTGATGACTTCTGATTTCCCATCTTGCCAGACTGGAAACTGGAAGTCTCTGAAAGTGCTTATTAGGTGCTGACATTTCATGATCTTTCTTGATGCTGATGTTTCCAGGTTTTCCAGACTTTTACTCTCTTGGAGAGTATGACAAAGAATTCCCCATGTTTTAAAATGTTTTGCAACCTGTTGACTTAATTAAATCAACTCATATTTTCTGAGGGTGTAAATGTACCAGT